TTAAACATCAAGAAAAGCCTACAAGGGAATAACTGGGTTTTATCTTGTTGATATCGGTGTGCACCCATGTATAGATATTGACTTTAAATAAAAAATGTTTCTTAGTTTAATTGTAATACAGAGGTAAGATAAGTAGTGTAAAATGTAGACAGGCACAGAGAGATGAGGAATATCTGACGTGTCGCCAATAAGTTATTTGGGGACATGAAATATTTACTATAAATACACTATGCTTCTAGCCTATACTAAGCCTACTGATCAAAAGGTGTATTTCTAAGTCAAAATCAATTAAGAGCTTGTTGTAAAAATAAGGCTTCCAGCTCAGCAAAGTACAAAGAAGAAACACTTAAGGCAAATATGTCCAACAATTCACTAATCAAATTTGCAATGCTCTTTTATGCTCCCAAGATGAAAGAATTTCACAAAACACTTTTTGACTCATCCTTTCCTCCACCCTCCACAGATTTCCTCTGGTCAGAAGCAAAGCACATGTTAATATTCCTGGCAGTGAGTGAGCACACATCGGCAGTGGTTTTCTTCTGTAAATCAGAGGGGGGTTAAGTAACCTCCAGTTAACATAAACAAGCTGCAGTATAGGAGATGCTTCCTCTAGACTGACAACATTGGACACAGCTTAGAAAATGTGTTTAAAAATTATATAGCTTAGAAAATATGTTTAAACATGAATTTAATGTTTTGGTTTTTGATTTTAAGAAATTATTCAGTGTTGATTAAATAATTCTCAACATTACTAACTTAAATGTACATAATAACACTTTATGGTTTACACTCCTCTTTATATTTTTTATCTTAAAAACCTATCATTTGTCCCTGTTCTTACAAATACTATGCAGATAAGAAAGTTAATAAAGATGTACCACAATGGAGGGATAGTCAAGAAAATTAGCCACTTAGGGACAAAGTACAATGTTTACTGTACATAATCTAAGCAACCTGTTGACCAAGATACCATCTGACTGGTTCATTCATTCATCCAACAAATATTTATTGAAATAAGTACTAAGTAGTGAACTGGTTGATTTTTGTATGCACAGGGCCTGACATAGACTTGGGCCATATTAATTGCTCAGAAAATACTTCTGGACAGCCTTCTAGCATGTACTGAGATAAATAGTAAGAAGCCACATTTCTGTATTATATTATTTTTCTTATTAATAATCGTTATTATAAATTATGTCGTGTGCCATCAGAAAGCTTATTTCTATTTGAAAATAATGGACAGATATGAAATGGGTAGAGAACAATTTATGATAAAAGTGAGTTACAATAATAAATACAGTGATTTTTAAGGAAAGATAATCATTCATCAAAAAAAATTCCTCACCATATACTTTCCTTAAATAATCAAACACCATAATTATTTCTTAAGTAAAGATTCAGCAAACAACTCAATAAAACACGCAACTTTTCAACAATAAAGCTATCGTTACACTTTTTCTGTATTGTAAACAAGAAGTTAGCTGACTTTCTCAAAGGTGTATAGAAATTGTGTAACTTCACTTTGACTACTGAAAAGCTAAGAGCCTATACTGAGCCTAAGCCATAATATTTTGCATATATAATTCATTTATTATTTCAGAAAACATTTATTGAGCACTTGTTTTCTAAGCACTAAGCTAATTGTTCCTCACTTGTGTCCTAATCTTCCCTTAATCCCCTTCTGAAACCCTGCAAATTTCAACAGCAGTATCATATGGCTCTGAGGGAAGCAGTAGCAATATTAATATGACAAAAATATATTTATATAAACTAGGCCACCTGAGTCAAAAATTATTTTTCATTCCAAGTTATTATATCTTTAGAGTCCAGTTAATCAAAATTTAAATATGATTATATTTTGCAGTAAAATCAAACATCATTTTGGGGAAAAACAGGATGATAAACAATGTGAATGAAATGTTAACATCTCCATGGGCATTCCATGCCAAGCAGACTTTAAAAGTTAACTACCTGAAATGGCGTTACACGTTTTGGCAACATTGGGTCACCTTATAGTGTGTTCTATCAACTTTCCAGCTTATTGGTTAATTCTATTAATTAATGGTGGAAACATCATTTTTAAATAAAGTCAGTACATGGTTTATACTTGGCTGACCTTGAAGGTTTACAGAAATTTTCCTGGAGGTTTCATAGATAACTTAAACTTCTAACTTTTTAATTAAAACACATCATCTGTGATATCAATCAGTTTAATTTTTTTTAATCTTCACAAGAGGATATTTTTTCTATCACTTTTTAGAAAGAGTGGAAGGAAGAGAGAGAAAGAGAGAAATATCAATGTGAAAGAGACAAACTGATTGGATGGAGCTTGCAACCGAGGTACGTGCCCTTAGCTGGAATCGAACCCAGGACCCTTAGGTCCACAGGCTGACGCTCTAGCCACTAAGCCAAGCTGGCTAGGGCTCAATCAGTTTAATTCATAACACAAAATCAAAGAACAATAATAATCTATACTTGAGGGGTGGGTGGAGGTGGAAGAGGGCATAGAGGGAATAAATGGCGATGGGGAAAATAAAGTAAATAAAATACAATAAATGAGTAAGTATATAAGTAAATAAAAATTTTCAATCTTGAAAAAAGTAAAAGAAGTGATTCAGAGAAAATCAGGATAAATTCAAAGGTACCTAAATAATCTCATTGTCTCCATATAAGCAATGTGTTGAGTCATCACTTGTAGGCAAAGAGAGAAAAAGGAGGGAGATAGAAAGTTTTAGTTTGCCAGATTTGGACTAAAACTGGGTACTAGTAGTTGATACAGGAGTAAGTAGGGCTAGCCATCCCGGATGTTTGGTAAGCCAGGAAACCAGTGTCCATTTTCCATTTCCCAGTCAAGGGCATGCTTTTAGATCAAAGGAGAGTTTGGGGAGAGTGAATTCAAGAGGAAGAGCGTGTGGAGGCAAATACTGAGCTCAAAGCGACTGGCTAGGCAAGACCAAGAGAGGAGGTTCAGAAAGAAAGGGGGCAGCAAAGGAGCTGTGGGAGGTCCCGGGCTGGTATGAACACCTAGAAAGTCCACCCTTTATGTATAGAAGGACTTTAAGCCCACATGTGATGAGAATTGGAAAGAAAAATCCATTCTTGTAGACTAGAACTCTTTGACCATAAAATGAACAACAGTGGTTTGAGCAATTTAATAATATGGCCCCTTATGATTTGAGAGTGATCATTGTAAAACCTTTTCACAGGGTAAATGTGTAATTGGTTATAGATCAATAAGTAATTTCTTTCAGGAGGAAAAGCTCTTGTTCTCATTTTTATTTATTTACTTATTTGTTTATTGCAGTAGCGACGCTCTTAAATCAGAATGGAGCAAATGCATTTAGAAAGTTGAGATTACTCTAAACAGCAAGATTCCTTACTGCACTAGTTAAGTTTATCTCAACTGATCATTTATTTATACCACCATAAAAATCCAGATGCTTTCAGTTTTGATTGTTAGACATTTGCTGAAAGGCAGCTGAAATTACTTTCCCAGAGTTCCCATTTTGACAACTGCATTTTGAATGGAAAATTTAAAACGGTTCAATAATGGTCGTGATGAAGTGTGTTTTTTATCTTACCAAGAATAACAATGAATTCCACTTGTGGTCAGAGTAAACCCCCTACTCAGCGTATTTGAAATTCTAGAAATATAATGGAAAACTAAGATTAAGAAAATAAAACAAACTCATAGACACAAAGAACAAACTGATGGTTGCCAAACTGATGGTTGCCAAAGAACAAACTGATGGATTGGGGACTGGGTGAAAAAGGTGAAGGGGTTAAGAAGTACAATAAATAAAATGTTGAAAACTAAGGCCCTGCAGAAGCCTGTGATAACATATTTTGGTGTTTGGTGATTTTCCTAATCATTTTAGATGAGTGCCCGAAGGTTAGTTTCTAACAGGAAAGAGCATGTTGACCTAATCAAACATCCTTTGAGGCACAGGTACTAGTAAAAGGAGAATTTAGAGGGATAGACAAAAACAAAACAAAACAAATTTACATAATCCCATGAGGCAGAGGGATAAACTATACCTCAAGGATTAAAAGGGAGATGAAGAGTTTTCTATGCTTCTGGAACTTTCCAGAAGATAGACTTTAGAACAGAACTGTAATGATAAGAAACCTCTGCAGTTTTTAAACATGTGACACATTTTCTTATGGTTCTTCCTTTGATATATCAGTAAAATATTAACATCTCTAAACAATGAAAGCCTGCATGTGCTTCTTTGCAAATATTGCAAGGAAGTGACGAGATGAAGAGCTGCAACCATATAAATTGGTAACAACGCAGAGATGTAGGGAAGGGCTGCTAAGCTATAGTCAGTTATGGCAACTTTAAAAGGTAAAGAAAGCTTTTTATTTATAAACTGTTATTTGCTATCTACTACGTACGTGCTGACTAAATTCTTAGGGGAGGCTTAGAGTTTGGAGAAAAAAAGAATAGTCCCAGGATATAAATGGCAAGAATCCATTGTATTTTCTTGATTCTTATGATTCAAAGTGAGTATAAGATGACATGGAGACAATGTTTTTGCCATTTTCTTTCATAGCCCCAAATATCCTTAAAGTTTCCTTTACTCCCATCCATAGCATGTCTGAAAAGACATAAGGGTGCTGGGTCCAGCTCTTTTGATGTCACCAGTATCACAACACTCTGCTTCCAGCCAGATGAAATAGCATCTACAGGGCGATAACTTATTTTACTAATTTGTCAGGTCCGCCTAAAGTCACTAAAAACACAGCAAAAATAAATCTTTGTGAACAGTGAATTGAGAGGAATTTACACTTAAAACAAAAACACAATATTTTCTATTACAAAGAACATTTTTAACAATTGTAGTAATAGATCTTATTACTTCTAGAGTGTATGTATATTTTCTGTACCCAACTACCAGTTGCTGAGGGAAAAAATGTCCAAGAGACCTAATTATAAGTTACTTACAAAAAACGAACAGTAAAAAGCAAAAGCTGAACCTTATTTTAAAAGTACTTACTATATGCAGCTCTAGGTAGTCCCCCAGGCCAGAAGAACTGTCCACTCGCACCAGTACGGCTTCTTTCTGAACAGTGCTAAACCCAATGGCCAGTCTGTCTGCTCGCGTGCTTGGCCGGTCGTTAGGAGGCCACTTATACGTGATTTGTCCACCACCTTTGCTAAAGATATACGTTGTCCCAGCTGGAAAACAAAACAAAACAAATCACAAAACCAATTAGTCCAAATCTGTGAAGTGTGGACTTCCCCTGTTTGTTATGTTGACATATCAGTAAAATGTTAAATTTATACTATGGCCAAATTTTTTAAAAATTGGCAAAGCAAATAACATATTGCAACCACACATTCTCAAGGAAGACAAAAGAGTTGCTTTTTTTTTTTTTAAGGAAATATCAAAGCAGCTCAGTTTTTAATACACTCATTAAATCTCCCAGCAGGTGTTTCAGGACAAACTGGAGATTCCTGCCTTTTCCATGGAGTTGGACAAGCATAGAATGTAATGGGGTTTTATTTCCTCCTGCCAGTTTTTAAGAAATAGTTTAGTAGGAAACACTGACTTTGGATGCTTCTGAAAGAAGCACAACCATATATCAACTTGTTTTTGAAACAAGGGCCGCATGCAGATGTGGGGGTCACACAGCACAGTGCAGCAAAGCCGCGGCAAACACACTACGGATCAAATTCATGGGGAACGGGTCTGTTCACATGTGACAGATGGTAACTAATGGATGAACGGCCATCAGCCCCAGCAGTTATGTCAAGAAAATACAGATAATAGATTCCATCCATAGAAGTCAAGTCTTATTTAACAAGCAACTTCTAGGGGCTGTCACAGTACCGAGCATCGTGGAAAGACCCCTTCTTTTCCCCCCAGCGTGAATATAAGTCTCACAGCACTAAGAATAAAGTCATCGTCACCTTTGGTAAGTGTTCCAATTTTTGCTTTATGGTGGCGATGTCAGTAAATTATCATCTTACTTTAAAAAGAGTTTTGTTTTCAAACAGGTTCGCTAAGCACCCAATGCATTAAAATATTTTATCATTGCTGCCCTGGGATCTATTTCACTGGGTGCAATAAAATGAATTCTTTCAGCCAGAATATTTGGAAGAGACGTGCAAAGACGGAAATAATGGAGAGGAGATCTTCCTCCACACTGAAGGGGACGACAGAAATATTTATTTAGTTATCACAGGAACAAAATTTAGGGTACAATTGGTAGAGGAGAGTGTGGCCTTCCCAGAACAAAGACTGCAGCTATGTATTTATTGTGTACCTACTATGTGCTGAACACAGTAAGAAAAGCAATGAGTGTTAAAATTTAGCCCACAAAGCATCTTATGTTTATGGAAAAATAGCTTCTACCAAGAGTAAGGCTTATGTGTAAAAGTTGTATGTACAGAGGTATGTTTTCAAGATATCTACCCATCAAATTTCTATGATTACCAAATTTACCACTTAAATGAAGATGACAATACCACATTCATGTACATTTAATTAAATAGCTAATAATGTCAACTTTTTTCCCTTTATTGTATTTTGGAGCCAACTTTCCTCTGTGTTCTGTCTGACCCACAGCATAGACCCTTGAGAAACTCCAAAGCATTTTGCAATATGCATGTTTTGCCTGATTGCTTTAAAAGGCCTTGGTACCTAGACCTGACCCCAGAAGCGTGTCAGGATAATATTGAATATAAAAGTGATAAAACAGAAATTTGTGAAAATGCAATGGTAGACTGTGCGTGTCTCCATTAAATGTTTTGGATATTAATGAACAAATATAGTTTATCTCTCTCATATGAGAATAGGTAAGTTATATTTCAAAGACACTAGTCCAAGTGCAAAGAAAATTCAAAATATACGGAATTGAGTAGCAGAAACACTGCTCAAGGCCAGAGCCTTCAGGACCATTACTGTTCGGCATCATCGGAAGTTTGTTCATCAGGATATTAATAAGCAAGCACTATTTGATAAATATTTTTCTGCCTGGTAATTTGTGCTGATGATAAAGTATTAAATGTTTCAGTAAAGCCTGCATCAATAAAAATAAAACAAGAACATTTAAACGTGGAAAGTTCTCTAAAACGAACATGCAGTAGTGGCCTCAGTGCTGGTACATAACTTTGTTTTCTTTTTTAAATTCAATTGTTCTCTAATGACTATGTATTTCATGTAAATTAAGAAAAATATTCAAAACCAGAGATACTACTTGACAATATAAAACATATCTGAGAACCTAGATGTTTTCTAGACTCACACAAGTAAGGCAGTGTTGTAAAGCAACAAGTATTTTACATTATGTGGTGATTTTTTAACATTAAAAATCCCTTGCAGCCCGGCCAGGCATGGCTCAGCGGTTGAGCGTCGACCTAGGATCCAGGCGATCGGGGTTCGATTCCCGGTCAGGGCACATGCCCAGGTTGGGGGTTGGCAGCCGATCGGTGACTCTCTCATCATTGATGTTTCTATCTCTCTCTGTCCCTCTCCTTTCCTCTCTCTGAAATCAATAAAGATAAATATTTTTTTTTAAAAATCCCTTTCATAACAATTTTTCATTTCTTCTCTACTTCTGCATGGAAAGTAGGGCAGTGTCACTCCCATGTTATATTTGAGGAACTTTAGTCATAGTATTGACTTGCTACCTATGTTACAAGCTTTGTTACATGGCAAAGCTGGTAGGAAACCTAGTATCCAGGGTCTGACTCCTGTGTGTGTTTTTCTATTACAGAAATGTTTCCGTTATCATAACAAGACAGTAAAAAAAAAAAAAAAAAGTTAATTGGATGTGTCAGTCTGAATTTATTAAGGCCAACTGTTAACATATTCGAATGTCTCATATCCATAAAGTGACATTTGCACCTCATGATCATATACTGTCCTTTCACCTCACAAGACTTTCAGAAAAAGAAAAAATCACATGTAAATGTGAAATGACGGGACATTTAATATATGTAGATTAACATTTGGTTTAGGGTACTCTTCCCAAACTTATGGAACTATGAAAGTTTCTAGCTGCTCAGTTATAGGACTTGAGGATGATAATTTAATGGTTTATATTTTCAACAAGATAAATGTCACAGTACAAATATCATTACTCAGGATTTGATTTCCTCCCATATTTCAACCGTGTCCAGTAAGTGTTACAACTGGGCACCTCGCATGCTATTAGCTAATCTCTCCTCCTTACAATGACTTTCTAATTCTTTCGGTTTCACCCAAACAAAGCAAAAGCAATTGTGATACCATGTGCCAAACAATGCAATTATTTCTAGTGTTCTTTTTCTCCACATATATCTGAAAAGCAATCCCTCTTCCTTTTCTATTCTGTATGCACAATGATACACTGAACTGTACTCATCCGCACAGTTCCATAAAGGCAAAGAAATTAGATGTCCAGCCACGGCACAGTTCTCTTCTACTGACCTCTATAAGCATCTTCTTTTCTTTTTTTAAAAAATCACTTTGCATCAAACTCTACAAAATCTCTATGTCCTTAAAAAGCCCTCCTTCCATCAAGATAGAAAAGTGCCATATATTCTATTTTGGTAACCTTGAGAATACAAGAGCACTACAACAATATAATATAGTGGGTCGGATAACTAAACTTTCCAAATCTGCATCCTATAAATTGCTTTTTTCTGCACCAAGGACGTGATGTACTTACTGAAGCAGAATAATTAAGACATTAAGAATGTAAACTCTGGACTCGGGCATACCTGGGTTCAAATTCCACAGGTATCATTTACTAGCTACATGATCTTGACGGAGCTATTTATTCCCTCTTAAGTCTTCTGTTCCCTATATGAAGAAAATGGGCATAATAACACTATTATCTCCTAGAGCTTCTATCGGGATTAGCTGAGATATCGCACAGTAACACTCTAGTCCCATTCCTGGCGCGTAGTAAATGCCCAGCACATTTTAGAGAAAATAGATGATGTGTTCCTGTGTATGTCTGCGGTGAAAATTAGAAAATAACTAACATTGCAGCACTGTTGCTTTATTTTAATATAAGAACCTTTAGGAAAGTTTAATTCATTTCAAAGTTGTGTTCAAACCAAAGGCCTTTTAAGAACTGACTTTCCTACACCCCAGTTTTTATTAACCTTTTCAGCATTTCATTCCCTGGATTAGCACTTTTTCACATAAACCCATTGTATCATTATTTCCATTCACTACTAGTTGACAAGGGGAAGGGTATTAAATTGCATCAAATGGGAGCTTCCATGAGAAAAAGAATTTGTTTATCACTATAAAGCACCTAGGATGGGCAGAATTATGGCATGATGCAAGAAACTCACTGTGACCATTAAATAAAGAAGTGAGTCTACATGAAATACATGGCAATCTAGCTTCATTTTAAAAATTTCATTTTTATAGAGACACGTTTTATTTTATTTTCTAAGTGAACTTGATGTGCAGCAACAGTACATCTTAATCAGTTACAGCATTTTATCGACATGGAGGAACGTGTCACCGTCATTATTTATGCATGTTTCCCTATGGCAAGCACTAACACTTCAGTGCCATGGCTACTAATGGATTTACTGCAAATTAACCTTGACATCCATCACATCACTGAATGTATGGGTGACTCAGAGTTAAAGTGGTTTTCAGCAATCTCCACATCTAAGTAGTGCAGCAAGTCTATTCCTCACTCCAAATTGATTAACAAAGCTGGCTCCATCAAATGCAAACTTAACAGTGTCAACGCACTTTACACTGCAAAAATGTTTGTAAGAAACTACACATGGCCATTTCTTTCTAAGGTGTAAGCTGCCTGTAATGTTATAATAAGAAATATTTTTAGACTTTATTTAACATATATTTACATAAAGGGCTCTTTTCCCGCCTTCTCTTTCTTGCCAACCTCCTCCTCCTGAAATGTGCTCACTTCAGCTTTATATTGCCGCAAATGGATTGAGCCTTTCTGAAAAAAGAAAACCAATAAGCACGTACAGGTATGCTTGATTATTGGTTGCTCTGGATCCTTGCTACATGAACAATAATATAATTAACTTCTGAATAGATTAGCTTCTAACTCATAACATAAGCATATGAATAAAAGGTTCTTTTCTGAAAGCCTATAATTCTTCAAATGCCATTGTGTAGCCAACATGAAACATTTAGGCCATTATGATTCTATTAAGTGTAACAGGGATATAACACCTTTTCCAGTGAAAGT